ACTAACTAACTAACTAACTAACTAACTAACTAACTAACTAACCAACCAACCAAATTAATTAATTAGTTAATGTAAATAATGCATTCATTCTCAATGCATGTACAGGGGCGGATTTAGTAATTAGTGGGCCCAAAGCATTTTTTGTCAAGGGCCCCAAAAGTTCTTAAATGCACTTTTTGTTCTTTAATTTATTTTCAATTGATTTATTTTGCTGTTTTTTTTATATATTACTCAATCTCCTTTTCTACGCTTTGTCTTAATGTAAAATAATAATAACAGCATGTAAAGCGAAACTAAAAGCAAAGCAAAACAAAACAACACAAATGTAACATAACGTAACGTAACGTAACAAAGGAAACGAAACGATACAGGATTTGTTTTCTTAAAATGAATTTACAACTAAAATTAGTATATACAGTAAGCTATTTCGTTTTTAAAACTAAATCTTCCTAATGATTGAGGGTGTGGGACAAATTTGCGCATTTACGATGTAATAAACATTAAACTTTTATTTTTTTAGACCCTTATCATGAAGTATGGAATATGAAGATGATGTTATATATATATTTTAATAAATATAATTTATACTTATAAATGTAAATAAGTATAAAGCCACCTCTGAATTAATAGAATAGAATAGAATAGAATAGAATAGAATAGAATAGAATAGAATAGAATAGAATAGAATAGAATAGAATAGAATAGCATTTTGTCACAATCATCAGCGATCCAGGCTTGCAGATTGCTGGGATTCACTCACTTTCACTCAAGACTACAAATTTGTCACCATATGGACTACAAATCCTGTCATGCACCACACACTCACACCTGCTCCGCTGATTGCTAACACACACAGCAAAAGCTGTTCTGAATTGATTACATGGATTTTAAAAGCAGCACCGACTCAGCAACTAGTGTGTGCTGCATGACAGGATTTTTAGTCCATATGGTGACAGATTTGTGGTCCAGATTGAAAGTGAATGATTCTCAGAGATCTACAAACCTGGATCACTGGTGATTTTTACAAAAGNTAATCATGTTTTATTATGTATGAATATATAATGACT